CCTCTTCTCTTCCTCATCCTCCTCCTCCTCCTCCTCTCCTCCTCCTCCCCTCCATCGTCCTCCTCCTCCTCCTCCTCGTCCTCCTCCTCGAATCCACGTCTTCCACCTCCTCCTCCTCCTCTTCTTCCTCCTCCTCCTCCTGCTTCCTGCTCCTCCTCCTCCTCCTCCTCCTCCTCCTACCTCTCCTCCTCCTCCTCTCCTCCTCCTCCTCCAACTCCTCCTCCTCCTCCTCCTCCTCCTCCTCCTCCTCCTCCTCCTCCTCCTCCTCCTCCGTCTCATCCTAATCCTCTTCCTCTTCTCCCTCCTCTCCCTCCTCCTCCTGCTCATCTGAATCGTCATGATCCTCAATTTAATCAACCTCATCAGCAGCAGCATAATCATCATCATCGTCGTCAGCATTACAATCAGCATCGTCAGCAGCATTATCATCTTCACCAGCATCATAATCATAGTCATCGCCAGCAGCATCGTCATCATCAGCAACATCATCAACAGCGTCATCATCATCACCAACATCATCATCATCATCAGCATCATCATAATCAACATCAACATCGTCATCGTCATCAGCATTGCCGACCGCAACAACACTGTCATCAACATCGTCGACATCATCCGTATCATCATCAGTAGCGTCATCGTCGTCGTCAGCGTCAGCAGCATAATCAGCATCATCACCATCATCAGCAACATCATCATAATCACAAACATTATACTCGTAACCAGCAGCACCATCATCATCATCAACAACAACAGCAGCAGCATCCGTCATCACCGTGAGCATACGCAACATCATCATCATCATCATCATCATCACAATCGTCGTCGTCGTCAGCAGCAACAGCATAATAATCAGCATCGGCATCAGCATCAGCTTCAGCATCAGCATCATCAGCGTCATCATCATCAGCATCAGCATCAGCATCATCATCAGCAGCAGCATCATCATACTTATCAGCATCAGTATCAGCATCAGCATCATCATCATTCGCAACATCATCATCATCATCATCATCATCATCATCATCATCATCATCATCATCATCATCATCATCATCTTGGCCTCACTCCTCCTCCTCCTTCTACGCCGCCTCCTCATACTCCTCACCATCATCATCATCCTGGCAGTATCCCTCCTCCTCCTCCTCCTCCTCCTCCTACTCCTCCTCCTCCTCATCATCATCACACCCACCACCACCGCCACCACCATTATCATCAGCATCATCGTCATCAGCATCATCATCACCATCATCAGCATCACCAGCATGAGCGACATCATCATCGTCATCACAAGTATCACCATTATCATCATCACCAGCATCATCATGAGTATTGCCTCAGCATCATCACCATCATCATCAACAGCATCAGCATCGTCGTCGTCATCATCGTCATCAGCATAAGCATCATCAGCATCATCACCATCGGCAACTTCAGCATCATCATCTTCACATCCACCACCATCATCATCATTACTTCATCAACAGCATCATTATCATCGTGGTCTCCTTCTCGTCCTCCTGCTCCTCCTCCCTCCTTCTCCTCCTCCTGCTCTCCCTCACCCCCCTCCTCCACATCCTGGCCCTCCTTCTCCTCCCCCTTCCTCCTCCGACAGCGCCAATCACGGTGTGTCGGCAGTACGCGGAGGGCGCAGCAAGAGCCGCGCCAGGAGTGAGCCAATGACCCTCGTTCCAGAGCTGCTGATCCGCGCTCGAGGACCGGAGGCTCGAGGTGCGAAAGCTCGCAGGCTCGAGGAAAGCCCGAGGGCTCGAGGATCGAAGAGGAGCAACGGCTCGCGGATCGGGTGTGATCGACGAGTCCAGGACCGAAGAGGCTCGAAGAGGATGGAGCGCTCGACAGAGGCCGCGGAGCGAGAGTCCGAGGATCGCAGGGTTCGAAGACCGCGGCCCGGGCCGAGCACAAACACAAACGCTGGGCGGCCAGCTGGCGTTAAAGTCGGGCCTGTCCCCCCACAGGGGGATTTTCGACGAAGAATGAAAAATACTCAAACATGATACCGGCGAAAAACCCCAATCAGGGCTATAGGGCTAGGGGGGGGCTATGGGGCTATTGAGCTAAAGGGCTATGGAGCCATAGGGATATGGAGTTGTAGGGCTACAAAACTATTGGGCTATAGGGCTATAAGGCCTATAGGGCTGTAGGGCTACAGGGCACCCCCGGGCACCCCCGGGCACCCCCGGGCACGCCCGGGCACGCCCGGGCACGCCCGGGCACGCCCGGGCACCCGGGCACCCGGGCACCCGGGCACCCGCGGGCACCCCCCGGGCCCCCGGGGCCCCGGGCACCCCCGGGCACCCGCGCACCCGGGCGTGCGGCGAAAATCGGCGACAAGCCTAACCTCACCATGTGAATCCGCGAGGACCCCTACAGATGCAAGCTCTGCTTGGGGAGATACTCCACGATGGTCCAGAGGTGCTCTAAAAATGATCCCCAGACTATTGCTTAGACCATTTCTGAACATTCCCCCCCAGACCCCCGACGTCATGATTTGTTCATGACGTCGACCCCCAGCGGTCTGGACCCATTCCCCAGGACCGGTTTTTCATCCCGAGTCGTTTTTTGACGGTCCCGAGGGCCGGCAAGGGCCCCCAGAGGCCAACAATCACGAAGAACCCCCCGTCGTGACTTTTCCATGACTCGAGGGGGTCTGGGCCTGTAGAGGGACGGGCCCGACTGACTGCCCGGCGGCGGGCGCGCACCCCGCGCTGCAAAGGGCCCAGCGCGGGGGGGTGCTCCCGTGGAGGCGGCGGGCCCTGCCGCGGCGTGGGCAGCGGCGCCACAGGGCGACGGTGCCCCGCCCCCGCGCCTCGAAGCGCTGTGGCCCCGTGCTGCTCTCGTCGCACCTCGGGGCCACATCCCAGAGGGCATGTCGAGCATCCAGAGATACTCCACGATGGTCCAGAGGTGCTCCAAAAATGATCCCCCCAGACTATTTTGCTCTGCCCACTTCTGCACATGCTCTCGTGTTGAGGGACGGGCCCGACTGACTGCCGACGGCGGGCGCGCACCCCGCGCTGCAAAGGGCCCAGCGAGGAGGGGTGCTCCCGTGGAGGCGGCGGGCCCTGCCGCGGCGTGGGCAGCGGCGCCGCGGGGCGGCGGTGCCCCGCCCCCGCGCCTCGAAGCGCTGTGGCCCCGTGCTGCAAAGGGCTGTGGCCCCGTGCTGCTCTCCTCGCACCTCGGGGCCACATTTCAGTCGGGCGCCTGTCCCCCTACAGGGGGATTTTCGACGAATCAATAATTTTTTAAATAAATGCCCCAAACAATACTCCAAATTCCAAAAATGCCAAAAAATAGTACCCAGACTATGTTTGGAGTATTTCTTGACTACTTTTTGGGTGCTTCCCAAATATCATGTCGAGCATCCAGGAAGTTATGAGGAAAATCCTGGAGGCCTCGCGCGGCAACTTGAGACCCGATGTACGTCGGATCTACGTCGGATTTACGTCGGGTTCACGTCGGATTTACGTCGGATTTACGTCGGACTGACTCCTGAGCATCGCCGCTCGAGCGTCGACCCATGGCTTACGGAACTGACAAGTAGACAAGATCATACTACTATTACGCGCCGCGCGAAGCCTCCAGGATTTTCCTCATAAAGAAAGGTATCGAAACAGTGTCGAGCGAGTGTAGCCTCCCAGGGCCCGACACGCGAAAGCCTTCCAGTTTCGGTACTCTCTCGGTGCTTTCTGGTAATCCAGGCTGAAGTAAGCTGGAGCATCATAACTGAAACTATACCCTCTATGTTCCTTGCTTTGGAACTCCTCCTCGCCGCAAGCACCAAGCATCTCAGCTGGGCGGGCCTGGCGTGTTTTCTTGAGTCTTGAGGCTCCCTCACGACACATGATCCTCACGCTGGGAAGTGCCGATAGTTACACGGCTGGAGAACTGATCGTGTTCACAATGTGGTCCTCGTACTACATAGGACAACCAGCTACGTGGATAAAAACAAGGTCGCATTCAGAACGTTGCTCTGACTTTGGCGCCGGGCACATCCTTCCTTACTAATACACAGCTGGAGAACATCAAGCGTTGTAAATGATGTCTCGCAATTCGCAGAGCGCACGCTCGCCTGAGAAGCCAGCATCAACACATAATGGATCATAAGCCGTTTCCAAAATGCTCCCATCTCATAACGGTATAATTTCACATTGCGCATCAAATCGAAGTTAAACGGAATGAGAAGATATTGCTCACACGTTGTGGGTCTCGCCTAAGCGTCACCCAAACACCAGGCTGGTTTCACGGTGCATCTCTCGCCCAGGTGCTACACGCATCCGCTCCGCCGATAAGTAGAAGATTACAAAAACATTTGGTTGATGTTGCTATCGTAAACTGGGGCTGTCGCTGAAGACGTCCTTCGGCTTCACTACCCGAAACTCGAAAACGCGTAACCGTCACAAGGACTCACTGAAATTCCTCGTCAAATGGGAAAGACACACTGTGCGTGTTTTCCCACAGTGTGTGTGTGTGTGTGTTTGTGTGTGTGTGTGTTCCCACAGTGTGTTTTTTTCCCCACAGGGTGTGTTTTTGTGTGTGCTTTTCCCACAGTGTGTGTTTTGTTTCCCATAGTGTGTGCTTTTCCCACAGTGTGTGTTTTTGTGTGTGTTCTTCCTCTTGAAACTTCCACGAGATGCCCATCCGCAGCAGTCGTGCAGCAGTTGCACGGATGGAGCGCGGGCTCGCCTCACCAGCTTGGGCATGAGATCAAAGGGTGGGCTGCGGCATCGCTGATGCATACTGGATGGGATATGGCCATCATGCTCCTCCTCCTCCTCCCCGTCACTTCCTGCTGCTTCCACTCCTCGTCTCAAACATCCAGCTCATCCTCCTGCTCCTCCTCCTCCTGATCCCACTGACCCCTTCCTCCCTGTTCCACCTTCCCCTCTCCATCCTGCATCCTCCCTACTTCCTCCTCCGTCGTCCCTTCCCACGATGCTCGTCTCCCTCATCCCTGAATCCTCCTCATTTCTCCATCCTCCCGCTATCCAATTACATCCCTCCACTCTTCTGTGACAACATCCTCCAACGAATTTGCCTGTGCGATTGACACACATGACTTGTACCAGGTCGGTACAGAGCACCCCACCACACCTCCAGAAACTCATATCGAGCGCAATCGCCTCTGAATGCGCACATAATGATACCGTGAACCACCTCCATTGCCGTAACGGTCATGCGAACTGCATCTTTCAGATCCATGTCCTGGTCGCATACCTGAGACTGAAAGACCTCCGAAACGCAATAATGCAAATCCGCCGTTGAAAACAACACAGAAAACTTATGAATCTGACAACTTAGATCACCACATCCGGACGTGCATCGAAGCAGGGCGGAACTGGAAAAGATCCATTCACCGCCGCTCCCGCACCGACCCCTTCGCAGTAGTAGAACTTGTCTCCCCACGGACCCTTGGAGGAGTCTGCAGGCGAAAAGACGACGTTATCGAAGAGGAGGCCCTGCATGGGCTGAGCGGGGTTTCCAAGGACGACTCCTGGGCTCTGTTTGGCGTTCAAGACCTGGATATTGCGGAGCGTGATGTTCGTCCAAGCAACTGTTGGGGGGGGAGGAGGGCAGTAATTCGATAGCTTGGGCCAAAGCAAGGAGCAAGCGCCTTTGGAGTCAGCTTCCTGGGCTGGGCCAATCCAGATAGGCACTTGTGAAGGAGTGTCCATCACAATATCATCGTACAGGATATTGGTGATCTCACCAGAGGCTTTTGGATCAAAACTGCTCCCGCTCTTGATATAGATACCTTTGAATGTATGGTGCATGCGGGCATGTCGGAAGGTTATGTTACGAATGCAAGTATGCCCACGACTGGGATGAATGGCTCCAACAGTTAGACCGAGACCGCTTGCGTTCACATTTTCCACGAGAACGTTCTCGGTGCATTTTGCATTGGTGGCTGTATCATCCAGGGGTTGTATTGTGAAGCAATCATCCTGATTCCAGACTTCAGAATCATGGATGTGAATATTTTTGCCGGCCACATCGAAACCATCAGTGTTGAATGCGTCCAAATTCCACACGTCATGCCAATCGTCTGTCTTTGAGACCCTGTTGCTGATGAAGCAGTGTCTTATTTCAAGGTCTAGCACGTCGAACGCTGTGAAAGTCCAGCATGCGGACTGCTCAAAACGCCAACGCTCAACGAGCATACTTGTCCCGTTCACAATGGAAAGCAAGCGAGGACGATCCTCCCCGTGCTTCAGGTAAGAAAGATAGCCCCACCAGGATTCACCACTGCCAAACAAGGTGCCAGCCATGCCTTCGGACGAAGTCAGACTCAGGCCTGAGACGTTCGCGATGAAAAACGCCTCTTGCACACAAGTTCCATCTTTGACCGGCTGAAGTGGATTGTGATGGCCATCCGAGCAATTCTTTGTTGGCCAACCCTCTCGCCCAGGGAGGAAGCTCAAAGTCCCGTCAAGAACAATAGTGACATCTCGTGCGAGGTCAACAGCGCGGAGACCTCCGGTCATCCAGAAAGTATCATTTGGAACATGCAGTGTCTCTCCAGTTCCCAGCTGTTGCAACATCCTCGTCATCAGCGCTGTATTTGCTTTAGCGGCTCCTTTATCCCCAGGGTGTCCTGAATAAATAAAAACCTTTCCAGACCTTCGACCAGCTTTGACTACGTCACCGCTACTGCTCAATACGACCAGCAGTGCAAAATACTGTAACATCTGCGAAAACGTCATCGGCGGCAGACAGAAAATATCAGGAACCTTCCCCTGCGAATTCCGTCTCATAATAATCAAGAAGAAACGGACTTGGACGAACAATGGATTGAGCCAAACCGTGCACGGACACACCCACCCGTATGATGGGAGAGACATCAACCCCTCTAGCAAAACAGTGTCAAACCGAGTGGCCGTGATACAGGGTGTCTTTTTATCGATGGGAGGGGCTCAATCGGCAACGAAGGTGAGGACCCCGTGGGCGAACCCGATGGGAAACTGCCACCAAATCCCTGGCGCACGGGGGGGGGGGTGGGACGGCATGGGCGGGACTCGCTGGACCACTGCCAGGAGACCTTGCGCTCGCGGTGGGCAACCAAGGCCAGGGCTCTCGTGAGCGGGACAGCCGCCAGCTCGGGCAGCTTCCAGGGAGCTCTCGACACGCAGCTGCAAGCCCTGCCCGAACCCTGCTGCTCCTCGTTGGGGGAGCGCGGAACACAACCGCGAGGCTCTGATGGTGCTGCCACGAGCCGGTTGCTGCTTGCTGTGGAGGAGGAGGAGGAGGAGGAGGAGGAGGAGGAGGAGGAGGAGGAGGAGGAGGAGGAGGAGGAGGAAGAGGGGGATGAGGAGGAGGAGGAGGAGGAGGCGGAGGCGCCGTCCTGGGCGGACAGATCCTCCCCCCCCCCGAGACAGACAGACGCGAGCAGAAGGAGCTGCCCGCCACGAGCGGGCGGAGCCCGAGGGCATTCGCCGCCTCTTGAACGAAGGATTGCAAAAAAAAAAAACTCCCCTGAACGAAGGATTGCAAAAAAAAAACTCCCCTGAACGAAGGATTGCAAACAAAAAAACCCTGGATTGCAACAAAAACCTTGGCTTGGGTTTTTTTGTTGTTGCAACCCTGTTTTGTTTGCAATCCTTTGCAATCCTCCCCCCTCCTCCTCCTCCTCCTCCTCCTCCTCCCTCCTCCTCCTCCTCCTCCCCTCCTCCTCCCCTCCTCCCTCCTCCCTCCCCCTCCTCCCTCCTCCTCCTCCTCCCTCTCCTCCCTCCTCCCTCCTCCTCCTCCCTACCTCCCTCCTCCCTCCTCCTCCTCCTCCTCCTCCTCCTCCTCCTCCTCCTCCTCCTCCTCCTCCTCCTCTCTGCAGCACGCCAGCGCCGCGGCGCGGGCCTCGGCCCCCACGGAGCGAGTGCCCCTCGGCTGGCGTGCGGGGCTCGCTGCCCTCGCTCGCCGTCTCCGTTCCCCCCCCTGCGCCGCCCTTGCCGAAGGGGCCCTGGGACACACAAATAACTACACACACATACACACACACACAAATAAACGGATTCCCAAATTTCCCCATAGTTTCTGGGGTTTCTGTCTTCCCCCCACTTCCCGTATGTTCCCAGATGTTCGGGGAGATCGACGATGAATTGTGTCTGTGTGTTTTTTTCCCTCCTGACTTGCTGCCGAACGGGATCAGAACGAGAGCGGCCCAGGGAGTCGCCACCACAGCGATCATATGGGGCCTCCTGAGTAGATGGGGTCGGATGATCGCGTCGCATCGCCGATGCATCGTCGATGCAACGGCAATGCATCGGCGATGCATCGGCGATGCATCGGCGATGCACCAGCGATGCACCGTCGACGTCGGCGATACATCGGCGACGTCGACGTGAAGCAGATCGGGCTCCACATCGGGCTGCATCGTCGATGCATCGGCGACGCGGCGCGATCCTCCGCCCCCATCTGCTTGGACCCCATCCAGTCGGCCTAGAGTGAGGTCGGGAGTGTCCCCCTACAGGGGCATTCTGGACGAACCACGAAAAAGACTCAGCACCCATGCAGCAGTGGTTCAAAATAAAACCAAATCGATCCCATACTGCAATGTTGTGTCGTTTATATGTTGCTGTTGGTGATGTGGATTGCATTAGTGCGCAATTTTTGAAAACTGGGGGGGGGGGTAGAGGGTAGCAAATACGGAATAGGAGGGTAAAACGTTATCAGCTTTGACGAACATGGGGGAGAGAGGGGGGGGGGGGGGAACATGCACCCCCAACAACCAACAAAAATCGTTCTGTCGTTAGTTCTGGCACTGCACCAATTTGACAATGCTGGAATACTCCTCCTGCAGAGGGACGTGCCCGACTTCAGCCTGGAGCTTGGCTCGAGCCCTGCCCCGATGGTCCGCTACCGACAATTTCCGGTAGCGCTCCGCAGAGATCGGTCGCTACCGAAATACCGAAACGTAGCGCCCAATACCGGTATCAGACCGCTCTGAAATCCGCTGTTTCAACGCCCTCAGACGAAGATCCGGTCCCAAACGATGCCAAATTGCAGCCTGTACTGGTCAGGCAGCTTGACGAGGAGGCGCATGGTATGGCTTGGTTTTGCCTGGAAGCGAAAGCGGGGCAGGTAATTCACGCTCTGATTCAGCCTGGAGCTTGGCTCGAGCCCTGCTGCCTCGCCCCGGCGCGACCGGGCCCGGCCACCCGACGGGGGGGGGCCAGAGCGGGCCACGCCCCGCCCCCGATCGGGCCCCAGAAGCGCCCTCCGCCAGCACACGCCAGGGGCCCAGAAGACCTTCCGCCCTCGGCCGCACGCATGGGGGGAGGAGCAGGAGGAGAAGGAGGAGGAGGAGGAGGAGGAGGAGGAGGAGGAGGCGCAGGAGGGAGGAGGAGGAGGAGGAGGAGGAGGAGGAGGAGGAGCAGGAGGAGTGAGGAGGCAACTAGTGGAATTACAGGAATTGCAGCCTTCGCGTAGCGAAACCATGCAATTCGCTGCTCAAGCCACTGCTCGAGGCTCAGATCACTTGCACTTGGGAAACTCGTCACGTCGCATCATGTCGAGATGATCGCGACGAATCTTGAAAGCGGGTGACTTGCAAACGGTAGCCTCATTGGGGCGCTGCTAAGCCGGATTGGGCCGCGGATTAAGCGGGACTAAGCCGGATTAAGCGGGATGAAGCCGGATTAAGTGGGATTAGGCCGGATTAGCCCAGATGTCGGACCAGGGCACAGTCAGAGTTTGACCGCCCAGGAGTTGCATCCGAATATGGGTGACCTTTGGTGCGCGGCTTCTGGGGCGCCCAGGGAGGGGGGGGGGGGGGGGCAAAACACAGGCGCGAGACGCTACCATCGCAATCGCGCGCGGCGATCGGGGGAGCCCACTGGGCCCGCACAAAAGGTCACTCCGGCGAAGGGTCACTCTTACAAGTGGTCGACATTCCCCCCCGCGCCGACGTCATGTTTCTTCGCTGCGTGTCTCCCCAAAAATCTGTCGGGGATCTACTGACCCGGGCCAATCCAAGCCCGGGCCAGTCAGGCCTTGCAGGATCCTGCCAGATCCTGCATGATCCTGCGCCCCTCCATGGCCCTGCAAGATCCTGCAAGATCCGGCGCTCTGGCTGACCCCCGTTGTCATGGCCCTCCGTCTCCCGAGCCCCGACCGCCGACGTCGTGCTCTTCCACGGCGCGGCCCCGCTAGGGCGGGTGCTAGTGGATGGGTGACCCACACGGGGGAGGAAGAGGGAGGGCCCTCAAGCCCTCAAGGGCCCTCATGGGTGACCCAAATGGAGGGTGACCTGGAGGGTGACCCAAGTGGAGGGCGACCCAAACGGAGGGTGACCCAAACGGGAGGTGAAGAGAAGGGCCCTCAAGTGGCCCTTCCCTTTGGGGCACCTGCTAGCTCCCCACCCCCCCTTCCAAGACATGCGACGTCCTGACTGCTTCAGTCCGGCGTCCCTGAAGCCCCGACCCTTTCCCCGGGACCCGTTTTCCGTCCTGAGTCGTTGTTTGACGCTCCCGAGGCCCGGTAGGGGCCCCCAAACTCCGAAAATAGCGGAAATCCTCCCGTCGTGATTTTCCCATTGCTCGAGGAGGTCTGGCTTGAGAACTGTCTAAACGCTGCCTTGGTTCTGGGGCCCCTTGGGGCCCCGGTCCAGCCATGGAGAAGAGAGGCAGCTGCCCCGGGGACCTGGGCCGCATCCCCTGGGATCGACAGTGCCGCTGGGCACGGCGTGCCCTTACGCATCAGTCGCCTCCCTTCCCTTCCCTTCACTTTGCTTCCCTACCCTTCCCTTCCCTTCCCCCCTCTCCTCTTCCTCCTCCTCCTCCTCCTCCTCCTCCTCCTCCTCCTCCTCCTCCTCCTCCTCCTCCTCCTCCTCCTCCTCCTCCTCCTCCCCCTCCCCTTCCTCTCCTCCTCCTCCTCCTCCTCCTCCTTCTCCACCTCCTCCTCCTCCTCCTCCTCCTCCTCCTCCTCCTCCTCCTCCTCCTCCCTCCTCCTCCTCCTCCTCCTCCTCCTCCTCCTCCTCCTCCTCCTCCTCCTCCTCCTCCTCCTCCTCCTCCTCCTCCCCTCCCTTCCCCTCCTCCTCCCCCTTCCTTCCCGGCGTGACCTGGGGTCCTTTGCCTGACCCCTTACGCCTCAGCCCCGCTCCAGAGGAGCCTTGACTCAGGGCCCCCGGAGGCCGAAGCTGGCCAAACAAACCTGCCACCCTGATTTCTCTTCTCGCCATCGCTCGGACGTCCATTCCGTGTGCTTTTTTCGCTTTCGTGCGTGGTTTTTTCACCAAATGGTCCTCGCCGAAGGAAAAATGCACACGTCCGAGCGATGCCAAGTCTTACGCCGCGACCACGTCTGGGTCGCCGCCCGCCCGACGCCCCCACAGAAGGCCGGACCCCTGCGCTCCGGCACCGGCCGCTCCGTGCCGCCATCGCGCCCGCGTGCCCTTCCCCGGGCCCACCGGGGGCCCGGCGCCCCCCTCCCTCCCCAACAAGGAGACCAGAAAATGGAGCAGGGACCGACCATCCCGGCATTCCTATAGTCATACCACGAGATGCTCTTAAACCCAGAAAAGCTCTGAACCAAAACAATATTCTGAATAACATAAACCCGATGTGTTAAAACAAGACAGTCCTAGCCAGAAATGTTCGAATAACATGTCGTGAGAACCACAAAACATTCTTAGAACATTGTTTGGTGGGGCCATAGGCGAGCCGGGACGCCTCGCCACTGCTCGAGAAAAATCCCCCCGCCGCGAGTTGTGTTGCTCCCATCGTGCGGCAGGTTCGTGCCGTGACGACCCAGGCGCTGGTTTCCGACACCGCGTGGGTCGATTTCAACCTCGAACGATCGGCGGCGTTTCGACCGCCCGATCGCTCTCCACAGAGGACGATTCTGGGCAACTAGCGGCCTTCGACCTGGAACGCCCGCGGCGGGGTCGCCGCCGGTCGACACGATGCGAACCTGCCGTATTGAATAAGGGCTCCCAACTT